TGTAACGTTACCAGGATTAACGTTACCTCCTCATTTCCATCTCAACAACAACTTATGGGTTCATCCCCAGATGAGAACTGCAGAGTTAAATGTTTTAATTGTCTAAATGCTAAATTTTGTAATTGACCATATTTCTGTGTAAATTCCCTATGAAATATACTGGATGTTTGCCTAGCTAGTGATTGAGTCTGTATGCTGTTTTACTGGAACATTCATGCTGTATGTGCTAGTAAAACATTCCTGAGTACTTTCAGAGACACTTACTGAATGTGGCTATAGCAACACTTTATCTTTTAGTTCTATCTTGGTTTACATTTATAGGCCATTCTGTGCTGCTAGGTGCTGACTGCTCAGTTTAGTTACATGGCACAAAGAAGCTTACTCCTGCAAGAAGAAAGGAGGAGCGAGAGCTTTTTGCTGTGGTGAGCTGTTACATTTGCTTGGTTGTTTTACGTAACTTCCTGCAGGGCTCAGGTTCCTGCATGCTCGTTTTCGGAAAGTGAAGTTAAGCTAGATTTCCATTCTAACCAAGTTCAAATCTCTTAGATGTACATGTCAGAATGCAGCTAGGTCTCAGCTGTTATCTCTGGATGTGCAGTAACCAGCTGGAATGAGTTAACGTAAGAAGGAGTGGAAAAACCAGGAGGGAAGCGGTGCCAAAACGTACATAGAAGAGGATGTTTCAGAGATGGCTATTATGTTTATTGTGGCCAACAGACTTTTCATTACCTTAACCTCGCCATAGGGTTGGGGTGAGACTGTTCATTTTTCTTCACATTGACTGCCGTTAAGTCATCCGCGTAGGCATGATACAGCTTTCCAGTAATTTTCACAGGATTGCTCTGTTGGCTTGTCTGCCCACACCTTAAATTTGAGCCTAGCACGTGGAGGGAAGGTTGTACACAGCATGGGAGGTTCATGCTGGGTAGTTCTGTTCAAATAATCTGCCCTGGGTGCTCTTTCTGCTGTGTTTTACACTACTTTCTTTGAACTTAAAAAAAAGCAGGTTTGTTTGGAGGGGCTTTTTATTGGGTTAGTTTAAATTTAAATCAGTTCTGTCAAGTTAGTTAACCACTTGGCCACATGAGTGCTTGTGCCAACACAAAGGAGACCTTGCTGCAGGAGAAGGAACAAAGGGTGAGAGTCTGGAGGGAGAGTCTTTTAAGACAGTGATGCTGATAGTACTTGTGAATCCACCAACAATGCAGGCATTTCTGCTCCCTGAAGCTCATTCTCCCTTGCATTTGGCCCAAATATAGTTTGGTCTACCAGGAAATAATCTAAATGGGGCATTCGGGTGACTTTCCAGGGTAACAGCCCTATCAAAGATGTGTAAAGTGACCCATTCATCTCACTGAATGAGTGTGCTTTAGAGAAGAATGGAACTTTTTAATATAGGTCAGAGTGGTGATAGCTCCATTTATCTGCCACACCTCAAAAATTTCAGTATTGCCATTTGCAAACTGTGGAGGAGACAGATTTGCCCTCACAGTAATCTGAATGGCCCCCTGGTAATAGCGCAGATATTTAAGGAGGGAGGAGAGCAAAGATCTCCGTTTTTTACAGGATGGCTGCTCTTGCCATCATTACTTGGTATTTGTTTTGATTTTTAAGCTGAATCATTTTCATGATGTCATTTATATTAAGATTCCTAGGAGCAGTTACATGGAAACAACTTGGTCTGGCCTTTCTGCTAATAAGGAACCATGTTGTGGATTTATGTCTAAGAAAGCCTCCCCTCCCAAATGCTTTCAGTCCTATGGCAGTGCTCTCACCTGTAACCATTCAGCTTGTGTGAGATGGTGTCCCAGTTTCCACTTAACTTGCCCATAAATGTGCCTAGACTAAATGTTGTGTGACTGTAATAAATGTAAAGCTGTGATCAGAGCAGAGCCATAGCACAAGCTCAAGTGGATATAAAAATACACTGGAAGGATGAGTTGGATTAAGTGATGCTATTTTTGAAGGGACTTTTTTGAGAAATCTTTCACTCTAGTGACATTCTGTTTAGCCAATTGTCACTACCCCAGGAGATGCTATCAAAAGGAGACAGACCATAGCTCTAGACAACCGGAGTTCTAAATATGCAACATTCATGTTATTTTGTCTCTAAGCAAAAAATGATATGGAATCGCAACTAAAACTGCAATGAAGAAAGGTTGTCTTGATGCCACTTTGTCTCAGTATCCTACATATTCAAGTAAATTAATTGTTATCTGTATAAATGGGAGTAGCACATAAATGTTAGATGATGCCAAATGCCCCATGCACTTGACATCTCTTACCATCTTTGACAGAAAATAAATGTGAACAGCAGGAAAGAAGGAGATAGCTTTCTGACAAAACAGTTTCAAAAAGCAAGCTATGCTTTGCAGCCACAAAGCAGAACAGAAGTGGAATCCCACACAAAGGGCAGTCCACCTTCTTTGGACATTTGTTTATCAGGTAAATACCACTCTGGAAAGTTTTCTGAGAAAAAAAACACTTTTACTTGGAAAGCCTCTTGTGTTCTTTTTGTTTTGTCAGTTCTTGCTTCATGTCTACCCTCTAGTGTTGATATGAACAGTTTCCAAGTAGAGACTGCAAGTGTGCTCTGCAGTTCTCTACTCTGACCTAAGAATTTAGACAGTCCTTTGGCTCAGTGCTTATGTGTACTTCTCACCTGAACAACAGCATTTAAAAACAGAAACATATTTATTGACAATTCTGCTTATTTTAATGAATAGAGTAAGTGTTTATTTTTTTGTTTCCTGAAACAACAGAAAGTTTTTGGGGGGACATTGTACTAAATGACAGCAAAGTTTTGGAAAGATTGGGATCCTTGTGCATCACACAGAATTTTAAGTGCAGTTTGTCTTCTTTGCAGTGCTAACTGCCTCCCTCAGGTTAGCCTTTCTTCTGTGAGGGCAGTCACATTGCAACAAAAACAACCTTTGAGCTGCTCAAAGTTAGGCCTAGCACAGCTGAGAATTTGCTGGGCTGCTTCAACAGCACAGAAAACCCTTTGTGTTGTTTTTTTTTTCCCAAGTGGGCCAGTCTTGTGTCAGGTTAGTGAGCTGAACTGGTTTATAGCAGATCCAGCAAGCACTGGATTGCTCAGAGTAGCATGGAGAAAAGGGGATCTTGTTGCAATGAGTTATCAAATCAACTTTAGCCTTGCACTCATGGAACAGAGCAGGTAGAGCAGAACACAGAATGACAGGATCATTTAGGTTGGAAAAGACCCTTAAGATAACGTCCAACCGTAAACCTAATACTGCCAAGTCCACCACTAAACCATGTCCCTAAGCGCCACATTTACGTCTTCTAAATACCTCCAGGGGTAGTGGCTCAACCACTTCCCTGGGCAGCCTGTTCCAGTGTCTGACAACCCTTTCAGTGAAGAAATTCTTCCTAATATCCAATCTAAACCTCAGGATATTTATCTACATCTTCATGCTACCTCCTTTTGCACACAAATCATAAAAAAATAAAAATTACTCTGAATACAGGACAGCTGATCCATACTATTTTCAGTACAGTTATTTTAAAAACTTAATTTAAATTAAATAGAACTAAACTGTTTTCATGTACTAGAGTGAATTAGGGTTGGATCACACATTTTTCTGGTTCACATGTGGAAGGGGTAACCTGTGATTTTTGTAATGCCAGGAATGGCGAGGTCTTCAGCTGGCTCTGCATGTTCTAGAAGGACATCTGACTGCCGTGATGGCAGGGACAGATCCCTTGTTCTCCTACCAAAGACAGCAGTTCTGTATGCAAGTAATGTGATGCAAGTTCAATGACGTATCTTTGAACCAACTTATTGCAAAGAGAGAAGAAAGTTTTTTAAACCAATGACAATACTAATATTACAAGCCAAAGAAGGTTTATACAGAGAAACCAGCATAAAATGTGAAAAGTGGTAGATAAGCATACACTGGAACAACTGTATGTCCATTTCACTGTATAAATGAATATGATCAAAAAACTGTGATTTTCTAGGGATCTTTCTCTGACTTCTCAGAATTGTTTTAAAAATGCTAGTCAAATGGCAGATAACATCTACCTTGGTGGAAATTATTTACCTTCATAATATCTCTCATAAAAGAATTAACAAGAAAATAATTAACCACAGAGCAGGAAACAAAGCACTATATCCAGTAATATTTTTGTGTAAGACTTTATGAAGAGGGACTTGGGTGGAATTTAGGTCTTTGTGTATAAAAAAACTTGGTGGCTGTTGCTGCTGCAGTGAGGACTTGACTGTTTGACTTCAGTTGTGCCCTTGTGTGTGCCCAGAAGTAACCTGGCTTTGGCAGGGCTGTGTAGGTCTATGCCCAAACATGACTGAGATCCAGAAATGAGTTGTTCTGCTTGAATACGCTGAAAGGAAAACCCTGGAAATGCATGCCTTGCAGGCAGTACAGGCTGTGTAGTACTTACACAATCACAAAATGAAGCAGTGGCTAGTAGGATTTTGCAGAGTAACCGTTAGGTATGGCATGGCACTTGTTACTTAGCATGTCATTGTCCCCTGCACTCTTTCTGTGTTTTCTGTACTTCATTTGGTTACTGGACAAGGTAAACCCCTTGCCCAGTATAGAACAGGGACCAGAACCCATGCCTGCCCCTTCTAGGTGGGCATCAACTTTCTGGCTCATTGAATTCTCCAGTTCATTGCTGCACAGCACCATACCTTCAGCAGGCAGATGGGGATGGTTCCCCACCCCAGCAAAGGCAGGTGGAGATGCTAGGAGGAGGCTAAATGCTGATAAAGGAAATAAGCATTGTGTTTTCCCCACCAGCCTTGCCTAACCAAAAAGAAGTTCTCTTATGGCTTCAACTGTTCAGTTAATTGCAGAGGACTAACTTGCTAGGAAGGTCATAGAGATGATAATTGGAAATTATGGGATGAAATTTTAACTGTACATGTTTTCTTTGATCAGTCAAACTGTTATTTTCTTTCAATTAAGCTTGTTAATTGTGGCATGTAGGTGAGCCAAGGCATGTAGGCAGAGGTTGTATCTTTTATTAGACTAGCTGACATCACTGTTAAAAGCTCATAGTTAAGAATTACGATGGCAACCCATACCTCGTTTTAGTTTAAATGACTGGAGGTGAATATATTAAAGGGAAGCAAGCATGTACTCATGTGGGTGACCTACACTCATAAATAAGTATTTAATTTCTTGCTATCTGGGAGAATCTCTTTGCATGCTAATTTCGTAGAAAGTTCATTAAACCAACCTGTTGTATGGCTGATGGATCAACATATAGCTGTGTTCTGTTGAGGTCTTGCATTTCTTCCTGCTTACAAAGCCTTTCTAACAGTAACTTTTTGCCTTCTGTCACTGTGTGCACTCTCTCTGTTAATAGTTTTTGGAAGTGGAGTATGGTGTTTTCAGAAGCACTTTTCTTAAGTGGAACAGGTGACACCTCTGTGGACAAAAGCAAAGTATGTAGTTAGAGTGCACAAGTCAATGAACTGCTGACACTGAAGTTTAGCACTTGCTAGATTTTCCTAATGCTGTCCTTCCATTAGGCTCTTTTGGCAGGCGTTGCCTGGTGGTGTGTAAGGAGTCACTGTATAACAGTGAGTAGGAATGAAGCAGACCTTGCAAAAATCACTCATATTTGAAACTTTCAGCTTTGCTTAGCTACTGCCTTCTGCAAGATGTACTTATCTAATAGGTAATAAATGAAAGTATATTTAATCACACAGAGTTAGTCCTGTTAGTACAGTTTGTGATGGTCAACTGAGCAGGTTGAATTCAGAAATGTGGTGTTCGGATCTGTTTGTGTTCATCTGTCTGTAGACAAGACATCATTTTAGTATTAAGAACAGGGGCAAGCTTCCTAAAAACTAAGTTTGTTATCCTTCATTGTTGGACCTTTTGATTATTTAGGGCCTAACAATTCTGCCAGAATGAAAAATAAGCTCCTGACCTTTCCTATATCAGATTGCATGCTGCATATTTCTAGCCATCCTTTCATTTTTCTCTCAGTGATTCTATAGCATATCTTCTCTTTGGAATAGCTGTCTTAACCTGTTTTCTCTTGTACAACATGTTAGACATTACATGTTAAACATTATATGTCTAAACATGTAATTTCTCCTCTCGTTTACTGACACATAGTATAATAAGAGGAAACTACAACCATGACTGTGATATTGTCTCTATTTTCCTCTGAGCAACACAGGTAATTAAGATACCTTCTTTTTAAAATCTTTTTATCTTTTCCTTGCACTTGATTCTTATACATCAAAGAAGTATTTGCTGATGTTTACGTCATTTATACCAGGGATGAGGATTGAAATAAAGAAATTGCAGTTTGCCTTAGGCCCACATTTTTATCAGGACTCTTCTTTTGCAGATTATTGAGGGTGAGGGAAGAATGTTGGTTTGTAGCTTGGTGTTAAGTTCTAAGATTTTTGTTTATAACTGTTTGAGTACTGGAAACTAGAATTTGGCATCCAATTCAACAGCAGTGTACAGATGCTTTAAAAAGTTAGGAGCTCTTACCATCATTCCATGTTTTTCTCTTGATACTCAAGGATCCTGTGTTTGCTGTAACGTCTCCCACTGAAACTTAGAAGAGAAAAGCAAGGTGACTAAGTATTTTGCAGAGATTCTCAAAACAATCAGTCACACACCAAAAAGCTTTATACTACAAAAGCAAATGCATTGGGACAAGTGACTTGGAGCAATGAGAATCTTCTAGAAAAGTTAGGTGCTAGGCTGGCACACAAAATCAGGGTGGAGACACTTTTATTTGGCTGATGCCTCAAACAGCTTAATAACTAAAGCTTCTTTTCTGAAAGGTTATTGTTTCACTGTCTCCTTCATCACTATTCACAGCACAGGATACACAGTCCTTTTTCAGCATGCTAAAATGTAAACCAGCCAGGTTGGCTCAGATATTCTTGGTGTTGACAAATTCTATTCACAGAGAGCAGAAATGAGCAGTAATATCTTCAGTTTCTGAATTTGGAAGAAAATGTCTGTTAAGAATATGATAGAGCACAAGAATGAGGCAGGTGAGAAGCAGTGGTGTCATCCCATGGCTGTGTGGATGTCATTCCAGCCTCAACTAATAGCACTACCGTATGGTGCCCTTGGACAGTGCATTAGGGCTCTGATTCACAACTGAGGACAGCTGGCTTAAGGATGGCTCCAGCCGTTTCTGCTCAAGCTGTCCATCTGGCCTCTGCTGCAGAAATGGTTCAAGTCCTCAACTAACATTTGTGATGTTGCACATTATTATCTAACATATTGAGAAAAACCAGAATTAGTTCTTGTATACCATAACTCACTGAGCTCCAAGCTGCAGTGGTTAACTTGCTTCTCTAAGAGCATTTGATCTGCCTGGAGCAGGGACAGGTGCCCCTGAGAGCTGGAGCAGTTGGTCAGTCATGAGAACCCTTACAGCAGACACAAGTTAGCTGTGTGGTTCCTGGACCAGAAGTCTTTTGATACTAAAATAGAAGGAAACTCTATTTAGAAAACTGATTCTGCTTTAGCAAAATTAATATAATGATTGCCATGCTTAAATAAACATCACTGCCCTGGATTTTTCTCTCTCTTGGCTGTGGTGTGAAATGAATTAATGAAGTTTGCTTTTTTGGAGTCTTTGCACTTGGCTTCATTGTTACAGATTTCCACAGTTCTAAATGGTATGAGCTTGCAGCTCATGTAAGACTTTACATGCCTGCTAGATCACCTCTAAAACCTGCCACGTTTTCTAGCACCATTTCACTGTATCTCACTTAAGCTTCCAAAAGCACAAAGGTTCTCCAATAACACTGAACGCATCAGGTGCTTTGACTTTTTGTTTATGTTCTCACTTCTAAACTCCTCCAAAGACCATTTCCATTTGCTAGGGATTGCCTATGTGACCATGCATGTCCAGATTCTTCAGTTATTTTCCCTCCCCATTCTGGCCACCTATTTCACCCCTACAGCATGGGTCAACAGGCGACTTTAAGTTTCATTTTAAGCACTTTATCTCATCACTGAAGTTTTTAATACCTGGTAGGAGACTTGAACTTTCACATCCCCAGCTTGAGGGACACAGAGGCTGTCTTCTTAAGATACAGTCAACTTCATCATAAAATCTCATTTTTCTCCTGGGATTACCAAGATGCTCATTTTCCTTCTGCAGTGCGCGGTATTCGTATTTTAGGTTCTTGTACTTTGTGCGACATTGTTTCCAGTCTCTGTCTATACCACGTTTCATTAACCTTCTGGCAATTTCCTCAAATATTTCTTTATTTCTTGTGGCCCCTTCAAGCATTTGTTGTATCTTTTCATCTGACCATATGTTTATCAGAGCTCTGACTTCATTATCACTCCAGTGTTTTCCTGCTCCAGTATCATTAACTGTAATAACTTTAAAGTGATTTTGTGCTTCTTCCAAGGGAATGTGATTGTCTGAAAATATAAATGAAACAACTGAGTATTGCTGAATATACATACATTGAAGTGTAATTGTAGCTAATCTTTTAACTTTACTATGTTAATATCCACACATGATTACATTTTTCTTAAGTATGAAAAATATATAGCAAGTGAAATCTCTTCTTTCTCCAAGGCATCTAAAATTCCACATTTTGTCAGTGATATTTTGTTGCTGTTGTCAAATTAAAGATAGATGTATCAAAGTGCTACATGTAGGAAAGCAGTAGGCCTTAAGCTTTAAAGCAACAAGATATCAGCATTGATAAGAAAATGGCTTTGCAGTATGCTTTCAAATTAGAGTGGCAAGGCAAAATATCATGCAAATGAAAATGCTACTGGGGATTCAATAGAAGAAAAAAAATCTTACCTGCGTATTCAGAAGTAGGCAGATGCTGCTTATCAGATAAGTAGAATGCACAGTTGAACTACAGTATTAGTGCAAGTTTTGCTCATGACTGGGAATAGAGCTATGAAACTAATTTTTAAGTTTAGTGATAAAGCTACACTGGAGTCAGAAGTAGAAACGTAGAGCTCTTTACAGTAGAGATCTGGTTACTCCAGCTTTGGTACTGAAATTACAACACAATTTTGTTTCAGAATAAATGCATGGAAATTAATACTCACCTGTCCCCACCATCCGTTTTGCTACTGGTGTACAAGATCTGTCTTCTGAGGTAGTGCTTATAGAATCATCATCTATAGAAACATACAGTTTTAAATAAAGTGGACTTGAACTTACATTAATAAAATTGCTAATATTATTGTCATCCTCTGCAGGTAACACCTACCTTCACTTAAAAATGTCATAACCCATTAGTCTAACCCATTAGTTATAGAATCATAGAACTTTTTAGGTTGGAAAAGACCTTTAAGATCATCAAGTCCAACCATCAACCTAGCACTGCCAAGACCACCACTAAACCATGTCCCTAAGCACCACGTGTACACGTCTTCTAAATACCTCCAGGGATGGTGACTCCACCACTTCCTTGGGCAGCCTGTTCCAATGCTTGACAACTCTTTCAGTGAAGAAATTCTTCCTAATAT